ATGTCAAATTGATATCTTCTGATGGTCATGAATTTATGTAAAAAGAGAACACGCACTGACATCAGGAACAATAAAAGCCATGTTGAGTGGCCAGGTCAGTTTGCTGAGAACAAAACCAATGAAGTCAGTTTTAGAGAGATTCCTTCACATGTGCTATCAAAAGTATGCATGTATTTTACATATAAGGTTTGCTATACTAATGACTCCACTGAGATTCCTGAATTCCCAATCACTCCTGAAATTGCACTGGAACTGCTGCTGTTGGCTGTAAACTTACTAGATTGTTAAATGAAATAAATTATAATAAACCATTCAAAAATAAATAAAAATTTATCAGGATAATAATTCAATTTAGTTTAGCAAATATCCATTTTCATTATTTTAAATATTATATAGGAGTAATGTTAGCTTAATTTATTAGTAAACCAATGTAAGTTTAGGAAGAGAAAACCCATATAGAATAAAATGTATGCTGGATTAGAATCAATAGGAACAGGAACCAGCAGTTGGTGTAATGGCTATGTTGCTGAACTCCCATATTGTTTACCACAGTTTGAGTCCCAGACCCAGAGGCTTAAACTCACACTGAGTGCACGCCCAAAATCCCGAGAGGAGAATGGAGGAGAAGGGATTGTAACGTGGCCATCCCTCTTGGGGATGATTTCTCGCTTTCTTTCTCTCTGTTTCTGTCCTTCTGGTGAGCTCATGTCTCTATAGCAAAAACCTCTCCAAAAAGAAAAGAATCAATAGGAACAAATAAAGGGCATAGTTAATTTTATTAAATCAAAATTAAGCTAGTCTCATTTACCAAAGATTTACCTTACTTATGTGAACTTGAATTCCTAAAATATTTCTGGGATTATTTCTTTTTTGTTTGTTGTTTTGCTTGGTCAATAGGTTTATTGTCTTTATCTAGAAAAAAATTTTTTTCTTAAGAGAGGTTTTTGCTATAGGGCACGTGTGCTCGCCAGACAGACAGAGAGAGAGAGATAGAAAACGAGAAATCACCCCCCAGGGGGGATGGCCACGCCGCAATCCCTTCTCCTCTCGGGATCTTGGGCACGCATGCACACACGCCCGGCGTGAGTTTTAAGCCACCTGGTCCAGGACGCAAACCGCAGTCAACTACATGGGAGTCCAGCGACATAGCCATTACGCTAAGTGCTGGTCCCTAGAAAATTTTCATAGAAAATTGTTTAGCTCTCAGCAGCCTGCTTCTAAGCTCTGTGGATGATTGTCTTCTTCTGAGCTACCCGATTTTCCTTCTAGGCAAAGAACACTTTAGGACAGTTCTGCCTCTTCTTTTTAACCTTTCTTGGACTTCTTTTCATAGACTGGATTCTTGTATAGCAGCATGAGCTTTCTTCTATATCTCCCCATGGTGTCTGGAGTTACATTGTTCCATATGTGTGGCATTAAGTAATATATATAATTCACAGCATTCTGACCCACAGTGTGCTTTTCATACACTTCTGCATTAAATTCTTGCTTGCAGAATCATAACCAGAAAAATCATTTGGTATTATGAAGGATAGACAATCCTCTAACCACAGCTCTCTTCAGGGCCCTAAAGACTTTATTGCCAGTGGTAGTTCTGACAAGATCTGTATCCAAATAATAATTGAATGCATCTGCTATTGACTGTTTCACCACCAATGTTTTCTACATTGTATTCATCTTTGGTCACTTCTACTTGGCCTTCCTAGAGCTTGTTCATGCTCAAACTATTTAGAAGCCTGCAGGTAGCAGCAGACCAGTACAACATGCTGCAGCATGATTTATTGGGCCAGTCTTCAGGCGGTATTATGGTAGTTCATGTGCATAAGCTGTACAAACTATATATCCCCTTCAATACAGGTATAGCAACCTGACAATGATATCTGTGTTACAATTATCCTGTATGCAGTATGTTGTACTTATTTTTTTCTGGGCTCTCCAAACATTTCTGAGCATAATCAGTTTTACCTTCTCATCATCAATTTCATTTGGTATCTCTTAAAGTAAACCTTATTTAAAAAAAAATTACTTAGGGTTTTTTATTATTATTATTATTTAATTTTACCAGAGAGAGGGAAAGTGAGAAAGCAAACTGCCAGTTCCAGGACCCAAACCGCACTTAGCCATGTGTGAGTCCAGTGTATTAACCACTACACCATCTGCAAGCCCTAGTAGGCCTTATTCTTGACAACTTTAACAAGTTCCATTCTGCAGAACAGAGATCTCCTTCCATGACTCAACACAGAAGTGCTGTAGGTAGGAAACAAACCTGAGTTCATTTCTTTAGGAAAAACAAAATTTAAGTCTAGCATGTAGAAAGTACTAGAAATTTGGTTTCCTGGGAACTTTAGGAATCTTTGATTACTATAAGGACTTATTTAAAATATCTGTGACACGCCGGGTGTGTGTGTGTGCGTGCCAAAGATCCCGAGAGGAGAATGGAGGAGAAGGGGTTGTGCCGTGGCCATCGCCCCTGGGGGTGATTTCTTGCTTTCTGTCTCTCTGTCTGTCTCTGTCTGTCTGGCGAGCACACGCACCCTATAGCAAAAACCTCTCCAAAAAAAAAAAAAGAGTAAACATAGAAAGAACGCAGGGGCCAGCAGGTAGTGTGGACTCCCACATGGCCGACCCCTGGGGGGGGGTGGCCCACAGTGACTGCAATCCCTTCTCCTCCATTCTCCTCCAGGGAGCTTGGAGCATGAATGCACATATGCCTGGCATGGGTTTCAAGCCATCAGGTCCAGGACTTGAACCACACTCAGCCATGTGGGAGCCCAGTGACGTAACTGCTACGCCATCTGCTGTCCTTCATGGGTCTGGATTTTTAAAACTAAAATTTTTTTTATTGATTTAAGCTCCAAACAGGCAAAGGGAAACAAAAAGACTTAACTCAGGGACTAAACAGTGCAACAGTAAAATGCAGTGTTCTGCAAACCTATGTGGATAGGTTCCAGGTTTGGGTCCAGAGACACCCCTTCCCTGGTACACAGGGCACAGTGATCTGGGACTAGATCCTGACATCAAGACCGTGGTGAAGGTGCTTATTTTCTGTCTATCTGCCTGCCTTTCTCTCCCACTCATGGAAGAAATAAACTTAAAAGAGGGGGATCCAGCAGATGGCATAATGGTTATGTTGCTAGATTCCCACATAGTTGACCGTAGTTCGAGTTGAAGACCCAGCAGCTTAAAACTCACACTGGGCGCATGTGCGTGCGTGCCCAAAATCTCAAGAGGAGAATGGAGGAAACGGGTTTGCGATGTGGCCACACTCCCAGGTGTGATTTCTCACTTTTTGTCTCTGTTTCTCTGCCAAGCGCATACACCCTGTAGCAAAAATCTCTCTCTAAAAAAAAAAAAAAAAAAGAAAGGACTTAAATCAGATTCTCTGCTGTCTCTTACCTGGCAGAGATTAGATCTTTGCCATCCTTCTACAGAGATTCCTGAGTATTTAGAGCATAAAACCAAATGGTTGCCATTATTGTTGCCATAAATGAGAACTAGCTTATTAGCCTTAAGTGAACCAGAAACAAAATCCCAAGTCAGAGAGGGCAGAGAACAAACTAGAGAAACAAATTTCTCATTCTGCGTTCTGTTGACACCTGGGCCTCTTCTGGGAATCAAGGGAAGATGAGATGCACTTTCCAACCCATGCGTCCAGCCTAGTCAGCTCCCTCTAATGGGCATTGATGACCTCGAAGACTGTTAAAGGATAGTTATGGTTTGCCTTCTTTTTTTTTTTTTTTAATAAAATCAAAATTCTTGTACAAATATACAATGATAATACCAAACACTCTAACTGATTTAGTAATGAGGAACTAATAATTTGTCAAAACTAGATACTCCTGGAGAGTTTTAATTTCTCAATATCTAGCAAGTCCCTTCCTTTCCGCCCCTACTATCCCAATCCTGGTTCAGGTCCTCATCTCTTTGTCCAGATGAGTAACAAACCAGTTCTCTCAATGATCCTTCTACATCCACCTGTACCCTACCTTGCAACCAGATGGACTCTAAAGAATGCAAACTATTGTCCTCCACAGAATGATTTTGGGGCACCCCCTTCTGCTTTTCTTAGCAGTTGTATTGAAATGATTGGTCTTCTCCACTCCTCTGCAAGGTATTTTGAAGTCTTTTACATTGTCATTCCCCTCACCTGATCGCCCACCCCACCCCACCCCCCAAAAAAAGCTTTAATGATTCTCCATGTTCCTCTATAATCAAGGCAGGGCCCAGGAACCTGTATGTTTAATATAGCTTCCAAATCAGTCTCTTAAGTTTGAGAACAGTCTAAAACTCAAGCCCCTTAGGGGATCAGATAATACTCTTACATGACCTTTGCTTACTTCTCTCGTCTCATCTTTCACTACACTCATCTTTCACTATGCTCAGCTTCTTACCACCACAGTATTTTACTTGAAGTATCCTTTGTCTAGAAATTTAGGTCAGGTTTAGGTTGCTTTTTAAAGCCTATACACGTTGGGCCAGCAGGTAGCATGGTAGTTAAGGCGGCTTGGCTAGCTCCATAAGGTTCAAGTCCTGGACCCAGCAGTGTGAAAGAGTTCAAGTCCTGGACCCAGCAGCTTGAAAGACCTCCAGGAACATGTACATGCATGCCCACTCCAAATCCTCAAAGGAGAATGGTGGAGAAGGGATTGCAGTGTGGCTACCCGCCCCACCCCACCCCACCCCAGTGCTTTCTCATTTTCCCTCTTTCTCTCCAGGAAGCACATGTGCCCTATAGCAAGAGAAAAGCCTATACTACACATGTACCCTGTCCTCCCCAGAATGATTTTGGCCTCCCTCTTCTGCTTTTTATAGCAGTTGTATTATGCTTGATCTTCTACAAGGTGCTTTGAAGTCTCACATTGTTGGATAATTGCTGCCCGTTATGCCCTATGCTAGTAAACACAAGATATTTGTTGATAATGGCTCTTTGGCAGATCACAGATGCCTGTGACCATGTGGATCTAGCTAATATGACTGAACTAATGTATTTTTCATTTCAGCTCCTGGTGGGCCCATGTGGAAATGGGACCCCCAGATCCCATCCTGGGAGTCACCGAAGCCTTTAAAAGGGACACCAACAGCAAAAAGATGAATCTGGGAGTTGGTGCCTACCGGGATGACAACGGAAAGCCTTATGTGCTCCCTAGTGTCCGGAAGGTGAGCTTGCCATCCATCTGTTGAGTCAGGGGCTCCTGGAGAAAGGCAGAAAGAGTGCTGGACCAAGCGTCCGAAGTCCTGGTTCTTGTTCTGGTTCTTGTTCTGGCACTAAGCACTCAGGTTTTTCTGGACTTTCATCTCCTTGGCTGTAAAAGTGAGAAATTGGAATCACATAGTGTTTCCTAAGATTGAACTTTCTGTGTTCCTGGGATAATCCATAAAACAGGCATCTTGTTTAACTCTAAGAATATACAAGAAGACCAAAGATTTAGATACTGTCTGTAGTAAGAAGAATAGCCCTTTGTCAATGAGGGTCACTGTTGCTATTATATTTTGCATTTCTCTTATTCTGGTTGCCTTAAAACTCTCATATATAAGCATGCTCTGTCCTGCATGATAAATGGAATCCTTTTTTTTATTCATTCTTTCCCGTTTATTTTTGTTATTGCTATCGGTTAACATCATAGCTATCTTTTTCTTTAGAGAGATTTTTGCTATAGAGCACATGCATTTGCCAAAGAGACAGAAAGAATCAGAAAGCAAGAAATCACCCCCCAGGAGGGTTGGCCATGCCACAGTCCCTTCTCCGGCATTCTCCTCTTGGGATCTTGGGCATGCATGCACACACACCCAGTGTGAGTTTTAAGCTACCGGATCCAGGATTCCAACCATGGTCGACTATGTGGGACTTCAGCGATGTAACCATTACACCACCTGCTGGTCCCAAGAAACCTTTTGAAAAATAATATTAGGTTGTCAGAAAAATCATGACATATTTTTTCTATGCAAAAATGCATCATGACTTTTCTGACAATAGTAACAAATAAGATAAAAATAAGATTTGCTTCCAAAATTTAACTTATAAAACTTCCACTGTTAACCATAGTAATTCCAGGTAGGGAGAAGAAACTAATGAGTGCATTTTCTATTGTTTAGGCAGAAGCTCAGATTGCTGCAAAAAATTTTGACAAGGAATACCTGCCCATTGGAGGACTGGCTGAATTCTGCAAGGCATCTGCAGAACTGGCGCTGGGTGAGAACAGCGAAGTGTTTAAAAGTGGCCGGGTAAGCTCAGCAGACTCTGGGTTCATTCAAATTAGATAACTTGATTTGTAATGTATTGAATACTTTAAGGTACCTGCACTATTGCAGGTAAGTCTTCTTTCAATAGTAAACAGAGCTGCCCTTATAGCCTACTGGTTAAGGGAGCTAGATCCTACATGAGCTGACTATGGTTCAAATTCCAGCAATAACAGCTTGAAGGACATGATTGACACCTGTGTATGCCCCAGATCTCAACAAGGTGGAGAAATGGAGAAGGAATTGTAATGTGACCACTCCCCATATTGGGGAAGTGCTTTCTCCATTTCTTTATCTTTCTATCTCCCTCTCTGTCTCTATTGCTCATGAGCCCCCAGTAATTAAAAAAAGAAAAGGAGGGACCAGCAGTTAGCGTAATGGCTATGTCACTGGACTCCCATGTGGTCAACTGTGCTTTGAGTCCCCAACACAGTGGTTAAACTCACGCTGGGTGTGTGTGCATGCAAATGGAGTAGAAGAGATTGCAGCGTGGCCATCCGCCCTGGGGAGTGATTTCTCACTTTCTGTCTCTCTGTCTCTTTCTGGCGAGCGCACGCACACTATAGCAAAAACCTCTCCTGAGCAAAAAAAAAAGAAAAGGAAAAAATACTATTGAATATTTTTTAAAATAAGTAGACGGGACCCGTAGATGGCATAATGGTTACATCATTGGACTCCCACGTAGTCAACCACAGTTTGAGTCCTGGACCTGGCAGCTTAAAACTCACGCCAGGTGCATGTGTGTGTGTTCTCAAAATCCCAGGAGGAGAATGGAGCAGAAGGGATTGTGGCATGGCCAAACCTCCCCAGGGGATGATTTTTCAATTTTTGTCTCTCTGTCTCTCCGGCAAGTACACAATGCGCTATAGCAAAATTCTCTCTATAAAAAACTTAATAAAAATAAGTAGGCAACAATTAAAAGAGTTGATATGTAGCAATGCCAATTCTAAAAATGAACTGGTCATTCTGAACATGTAGTTCTAGATGTGACTGATCGATTCTGTGATGCTTTTGTTATTAGTCTTCATGAGCTTATATTACATTGACTGTACCTTAGAAATGCCTGGCTATGCCTCATTTTAGGCCTTTTATCTGCCCCTACTCTCAGATCCTAAGCTTCCAGCTTACATGAAGAAACAATCAGGAAATAAATTACAAGTGGGCTATGGGGCTGACTCGCTCCTCTGCTGTCCCTTCATAGCCAGTTTGGACAATGAAAGAGATAAGGCCATACTCTCAATGTGTGAGTTCATGTTTGCTATGGTCTACTTTCTCTTGAAAAAAAAAAAAAAAAGAATGTTATCATTAATGAATGCATTTGTATTTTTTTCTAGATTAAGTCTGGGAAAAATATATATTAAGTTAGAAAAATTAACCAACATTCTATCCCCCACTGCCCCCTTTGAAAAACTAGAATAAATAGTTTATTTGTAAAACTGGTCTAAGTACACACATAGTTTGTTAACTCCAAGGAAAGCATATAGGGTGATGTACCCCTTTTTTTCTTTCTTTCTTTTTTTTTTTAATCCCTTTTTTAAAATTTTTGCTAGAGGGCAAAGATACTACTAGAGAAAGACAGAGAGAAAGGGAAAATGACAGATCCCTCCTGCTGGAGCATGGCCATGCCACAGTCACTTCTCCATGTCTCCATTCAGGATTTGGGGCACTCAGGCCAGCATTTTTTTCCAAGCCACCAGGTCTGAGACCCAAACTGTATGGTTGGCCATGCAGAATTTAGCTGCCTTAACCACCAAGACAAGAGCTAGCCCGTAATCATTATCTTAAGTCAGACCAAACAGTGTGATTAATTGCTAGCCATATAACCAAATCACCTGTGACCCCACATGAGAACTTCTGTATTTGTAATTCCTGTTGTGATTTTGCTTAGTCTGTGTCTGTCTGGACACTAACAAGTATGAGACTGACGGGTGTTTTTCCCCCAGTTTTTTGTTTGTTTTGTTTTTTTCATTTAGGTCTTATAAGAGTGGCCTGTTTTAAAATAACATCAGCTTTTATGAGTTGCTATGCCTCTGTGAATCATTAATATTATCAGATCTACAGTCTGGTTTTTATTTCTATCACGCCAAAAATTGCAGAGACAGACTTTAAAGAATTCTTCATTTGGGTTCCCCCTGTTACATCCACTATCATATCAGTCTAGAAAATAGATTTTTGTCTTATAGAGTTTCATACCTCTATAGTAAACCAACCAACCAAAAAAAAAAAAACCCCGTAAATTTACTATGTTTCTTTATTCACTCCTTAAAGTTGACCAACTTGGGGGCCAGAAGGTGACAAGGCAGTTAAAAAAGGTACTGGATTTCCACGTGGCTGACCATAGTTCAAGTCCCGGACCTAGTGGCTTACTTTCTCACTTTCTCTTTCTCACATATATGCCCTATAGTAAATTTTATAATAATAATAAATAAATTTTTTTTTAAAGTTGACCAGTTTGAAAAAACAGCTTTATCTTAGGCATCTTTCTGTTAGCCAAAAGATGAATATTTTCAGATTATGAACACTCATAGACAGGGATCTCTTCAACAGCCTTTTAAAATGTAGTAATGTTATCCTAATATACTTGTTAACATGCTTTTCAAGGAACTTTGAAAAGAGCCATTCCATTTTGTATCATTCTAGAGTAATATTTTGATGTAGGAACTGTTCCTCGTATCTTTTTTGTTTGTTCATTTGTTTGTTCGCTGTTTTACTATAGGGCACTTGCACTCACTAGAGAGAGAAGAGAGAGAGAAAGTGAGAAAGCAAACCCCGGGAATGATGGTCACACTACAGTCCCTTCTCCTTTCTTCTTTCAGGATTTTAGGTACACATGTATATGCACCTGGTGTTTTTTCAAGCCTCTGAGTCTGAGACAGGAACTACATAGTTGGCATGTGGATCCAGCCCCCTTAACCTCTGTACCACCTGCCGGCGCAAGTGTCTTTTTTACATTTTTATACAAATCACTTACATTTTGTGTTGAGGAAAATTTTTTGTGTCCTGAAAGTCCTTCATATAACTTGGGATGATAAATGGATCACATACCATAGGAATTAGCCTTTAAGTATGGAAGGTACTGCCTTTGTGGGCTAGGCCTCCAGGGAATGTCAAACATAACTGACCATGGGTGTCTCTCCTATAGTTTGTCACTGTACAGACCATTTCTGGAACTGGAGCCTTAAGGATCGGAGCCAGTTTTCTGGTGAGTATGGAAACTCCATTCAGGAAAGACCTGCAAGTTGAGGATGACAGGGTTTCCCATTGTACATATATTTGACTGCTGAGCCGGAAAGAGATTTCCTCTTTTTACAAAGTGGTAGGTTTCCCATTCCCTGATTTTAAAAACTGAAAATATTTTAAAGAAATATGAAGAAAGAATAATAGTAATAATAATAAATTCTATTGAGCCCTTACTATTACTAGGGAGTCGTTGTAGTCTAGCTTATTTAATCCTTAGGAAGGAGACACAATCGACCTCATTTTGCAGATGAAGAAAGTAAGGACCAGCTGTGGTGGCACAGTGGTAACTACATGCTATGATGCTCAGGCCACTGAGAAAGTCCTCCGTTCATGTCCCAGTGTCACCCTGCACATACAAGGCACATGCATACATGCTGGCGATCCTAGCTGGTTATGGGTGGATCTCTGTGGGCAGACCCTGTTGGAGGTGCTCTCCACCCCACTGAAAAAAATAAATAACCTTAGGAAAAAAGTTTAAAAGTCAGGCCCAATAGGTCCTTGGCCATATAGCCAGTATAATTGTCCGAGCTAGGCTGTCTCGTTGAGTCAGTCTCTCAACCACAGAGAAAAGCCAGGTTGCAGTGGAGAAAAACGTCCTTTCAGTAGAATATACATTTTTGGGCTCTCTCTGCTTAATTTTTATTCCCTTTCATCCTATCTTTTAGCAAAGATTTTTTAAGTTCAGCCGAGATGTCTTCCTGCCCAAACCATCCTGGGGCAATCACACACCCATCTTCAGGGATGCTGGCATGCAGCTACAAGGTTATCGATACTACGATCCTAAGACTTGTGGTTTTGACTTCTCAGGCGCCATGGATGACATTTCGGTAAGCGTGGCTTTCAGGGTGGGAGGAATGAAGGAACAAAGAATAACCTCCTTGTGGACATTATATATTCTCTCTCTGAGTCCTGATGTCTGACTTAAAATACTGACCCAGACTTTGAGTTAACTTTGTCACTTATCAAATGATAGTGACCCTGTGACATTTCAGATAAACTATCTCTTTTACAGCAGTCATCTCTTGGTTATTTTTCTCTTTAGAAAATTCCAGAGAAAAGTGTTCTTCTCCTGCATGCCTGTGCCCATAATCCCACAGGAGTGGACCCTCGCCAAGAGCAGTGGAAGGAGATCGCAGCAGTGGTGAAGGTGAAGAGTATGAACTGATTAGTGACAGTTCTGTGTTTAGTGACTAGCCTTCTTAACAGCAAGAATTAATTAACGTCGAGCCTACAGGAAATTTTACATATAGATGCTGCCAGGAAAGGGCTCCTTGTTTGCCTAATTGGTAGTCTGTGATTGATGATACATAAGCAGTTTGAAAATAATTTGGGGCCAGCCTCAGAGACTAGTGGTTAAGGGAGCCAGAGCCCACATGACTGACAGTGGTTTGAATCTCAGCCCCAGTGGCTTGATATGTGCATATATGCCCCAAATCCCGACAGGATGAAGAAATGGAGAAGGGATTGTGGCATGATCACACTTCATTGGGGATGCTTCCCGCCTCTCCCCTCAATGTCTATTATTGGCTGGCCTCCACTGGTCCCAGGATATTTGCCATTGGTGTTTTCTTAGTGTCTCTTTGTGGAAACATACCTATCACACAAAAAGAAAAAAATATATAGGCAAATATCTTAACTCAAATAAAAACATCTCCTAAACTGCCATAAGGGGAGAAAATTGTCTCTATGGGGCAGACGAGATCCTAAGAAGCACAAGTAACCATCTAGGGCATCTTCAGACAAGCTGTCTAAAGCTTTGGTCCTCTCTTTCCTTCCCAGAAAAAGAATCTCTTTGCTTTCTTTGACATGGCCTACCAAGGCTTTGCTAGCGGTGATGGTAACAAGGATGCCTGGGCTGTGCGCCACTTCATCGAACAAGGCATTAATGTTTGTCTCTGCCAATCATACGCCAAGAACATGGGCTTATATGGTAAGCTAAAGGACCCAGTGTGGTATGTGCTCTGATGAGTCTGAAGAGGAACTTGGAGAGAATGCCATAATGGCATCGAGTTTGGGGAATGTGTGTGCATGTGTGTGAGTATGTGTGTCCCTTCTTAACCAGGTAAGAAAAGGTGGTATAGGGAGTGTACTGATTTTTTTTTTTTTTTTACCCATTATCTTCTTTGATGTCTTTTAATTCCTTCAATAAAGAAAAGTTACTACTGCTTCTCTAAACAAAAAAAATTGATTGATCCATGAGCCAAGAAGATAGATAGAATATAGAGACTTGAATGCTCTTGAGCACTCAGACTTTCTGTTGTGCCTGGCTTATCAACCTGGGTGCTGAAATAGTTGCTATTTATAGTAGTTTATGTTTGTGGTCCTTCTGATAGAAAGATAATATGTAGCATATTTTATCATGATTTGCTTTAGCATGTTAAATAGAAGAACTGTAAGATAAGATCCATGTTGTCTTTTCAGGTGAGCGTGTGGGAGCCTTTACTGTGGTCTGCAAAGATACTGATGAAGCCAAAAGGGTAGAGTCACAGTTGAAGATCTTGATCCGTCCCATGTATTCCAATCCTCCTCTCAATGGGGCCCGGATAGCCTCTACCATTCTGAACACCCCCGATTTGCGAAAGCAATGGTAAAGACTCATTGCTACTCCCCAGCCTCCCACCTGTTCCTACCAGTCTTAAAGTTGGTTTATATGAGGGGGTCTTTATAATGTTCAGGGAAGTGCTTATAAAAAAACCTGTACATGGTTTTCAACTTTTTTCTTTTATCTTTTGTTTTTTTCTTTAGTTTTTTTTTTAGTTTTTTGCTATAGGGTACATGCACCACTCATGAAAGAGAGAGAGACAAAGGAAGTGAGAAATCACCCCCTCCCCCAATGGGATTGGCCATGTTGTAATGCCTTCTCTTGGGATTTTGGGCATCCACATCCACGTACACCTGGCATGTTTTTCAAGCTACCAGGTCCAGGACTCAAACCGCACAGTCAGTCATGCAGGACCCAGCCACCTTAACATCCACACCACCTGCTTGCCCTCATTTTTTTTTTTTTCTTTTTTCTGGTACCAAAATAAACTTATTACTTTAATTCCATTTTCCATGAACTTTTTGAAACCCCCTCATCATCACCCTCTAGCAATACCTCATATTCCATGTATGGAAGAAGGGGAAGGGAGAACAGAATTATTTCGTCATTACTTTCAAACAAATAAATTGGTGTTTACCTGTGAAAGGCATAAATCAGAAATGAGCAGTTCCTTTTACTCTGTCATTTCCATGTTAAGTAAAATGTGAATCAAGCTCAGTGTTGAAGTCCTTACATAAGAAAACTTCCATAAGAATGCCAATATTTTTTGTAAGAATTATTTATTTATTATTATTATTATTATTTTAAAATTTGCTAAAGGACACATACACTGACCAGAGAAGACAGAGAGAGAAAGTGAGAAAGCAAGCCACCAGGTCCAGGACTCTAAACTATAGTTGACCATGTGGGAGTCCTGTGCCCCAACCACCACGCCATCTACCAGCCCCAAGTATACCATATTTTTGTTTTTGTCCTAATAATAGCTAGTATTGATTAAGTATTTCTGCATCTTTCTTTCTTTCTTTATTTTGGAGAAGATTTTGGTATAGGGCGCATGCACTCACCAAAAGACACAGAGAGAGACAGAAAGAAAGAGACAGAAAGCAAGAAATAACCCCCTGGGGGATGGCTATGCCACAATCCCTTCTCCATTCTCTTCTTGGGATCTTGGGAGCACACACTCCTGGCGTGAGTTTAAACCACTGGATCCGGGACTCCAGCCACAGTTGACTACATGGGAGTCCAGCGACATAGCCATTACGCCAACTAGTGGTCTCACATCTTTTTTTTTTATTATCTACACTGTAACAATCTCAACACCTGTTCTGTTCTCTCGCTCTCTCTTTTTTTCCTTGGAGAGGTTTTTGCTATAAGGCACATGCACTCACCAGAAAGACAAAGACAGGGAGACAGAAAGCGAGAAATCATCCCCTGGGACGATGGCCACGCCGCAATCCCTTCTCCTCTTGGGATCTTAGGTATGCCCGTACACGAACCCGGCGTGAGTTTAAGCCACTGAGTCTGGGACTCGAACCACAGTCAGCTACATGGCAGTCCAGTGACATAGCCATTATGCCAACTGCTGGTCCTGTTCTGTTCTCTAAATTAGGATTATTCAATCTTTTGACTACAGTTCACATAAAAAATATATTTGACATCATAACTTCAACTATACATTGCTTATATGCATATATTATTTCTTCAATGTGTGAGAGAAAGACAGCACCCCCAACAGGATCTTAATGCCATGATTCACACCACTTATGGTTCTAAGCATTTCAGATAAGGGATACTCGATCTGTATTTTAGTGTTTAACCCACAACTTTTGCCCTCATCTTCCTGTGTTTTAGAGTGTTTCATTGACTTCTTTTAATATTCAAATACATTAAGTATTTTAGTTGCCTGATCAAAATAATGTTCTGAATGAAAACAGAATGCCATAAAAAACTGTTTTCAGGCCAGCAGGTGGCACAGAGGTGGAGGTTAAAGTGACTAGAACCCTTGGGGCCAGCAGGTGACATTGTGGTTAAGGCACTGAACTCCCACATAGCCGATCGTGGTTAGAGCTCCAGACCTTTGGCTTTCTCTCTCTCTTTCTCTGATGAGTGCACTTACCCTGTAACAATTTTTTTTTAATATTTACTAACTTCTATTTATGTGTTTTGTTTTGTTTTTTAATTTGACAGGAGAGAGTCACAAAGAGAGAAGAAGAGGGAAAGTGAGAAAGCAAGCTGCCAGGTCTCGGGAGTAGAACTGTGGTCAGACATGTGGAGGTCCATTGCCTCAACCATCATGCCACCTGCTGGCCCTCTATAACAAATTTTTAAAATAATAATATTAATATATATTTTTTTTTTAATAAAAGACTAGATCCCACATAACCAACTGCATGGTTCACATCCTGGACCTAGCGGCTTGAAAGTCACACTGGGAGGACCAGCAGATGGTGTAATAGTTACATCACTGGATTCCCACATAGGCTGCGGTTTGAGTCCCAGACCCAGCAGCTTAAAATTCACACCGGGTATATCTGCATGCATACCCATGATCCCAAGAGGAGAGTGAAAAAGAAGGGATTGCAGCATGGTCATCCCCCCTGGGGGAGGGGGGTGATTTCTTGCTTTCTGTGTCTCTGGCAGGCACACGCATGTGTAGTCATGCCCAAAAATCCTGAAAGGAGAATAGAGAAGGGATTGTGACATGTTCACCCATATGGGCCCCCCCAAGTGGGGGTAGTTAGTGATTTCTCACATTCCCTCTCTCTGTTTCTCTCTGACAAGCACATGTGCCCTATAGCAAACAAAAAAATTTTTTTAAAGTTGTTCTCCCTGACCAGTGGCAGCATGGAACTCAGTTAAGGGCTAAGGATTGAGGCACATGAGAGAAGCTCTCAACAGAAGTTGGCATCAAGCACTGTGAACCTGACTTGTTCGGTGCTCCGAATGAGCTGCATCTCGGGGTTTTCTTATAGGTTGCAGGAAGTGAAAGGCATGGCCGATCGCATCATTAGCATGCGCACTCAACTGGTCTCCAACCTCAAGAAGGAGGGTTCCTCCCACAACTGGCAACACATCACTGACCAGATTGGCATGTTTTGTTTCACAGGGCTAAAGCCTGAACAGGTGAGTGGACTCTAACTTCTCTGCAGCTGAGCAATTGATTGATCCTTGCAAATCAGAATTCCTTATTGGTTACCTTCCAATTCAGGGTTACTCTAAAAAAAAAACACTTGGAACCCTTTTTGGTGAAGGTATTAGGTAGCATTCATTTGTCTTGTTTTTATTAGTTGTTTACCTATCTGTGTGCCCAATGAGGTTGCAAACTTTAGAAGAGCACAGCATCAGCCGGAGCCTGAATATTGATAAGAGAAATAGCTGCATAGCTGACTTCTAGTTTTATGCTGAATCTGTAATATTTTTTCCCACTCATTCATGCCTCAGAATTCATCATCCTACTTTAAATTAGCTTTTTATTCTTCTTTCACTCTAAGCTAACACACCAAATTCTGGGACTAGGGCTTAAGTGAGAAAACAGCTTTTGTTATCTTTCCATTGTATCAGTTGGCTGTTGGGCCAAACCAGGGTTGGGAAATCTCTCTGACCTGGAAGTACCCAAGCTCTTCTCTCTCTGCAGGTGGAGCGGCTGACCAAGGAGTTCTCCATCTACATGACAAAGGATGGCCGCATCTCTGTGGCAGGGGTCACCTCTGGCAATGTGGGCTACCTGGCCCATGCCATTCACCAGGTCACCAAGTAATTTTCCTGGTGCAAGGGAACAGAGACAACCTTTCTGTCTTCAGCCTCTGCTATTGTGAGATTCACACTGAGGATGAGGGAGGGTAGATGGTGGTGAGTGGATCATTTCTTTCAACCACAGTGTTTAACTCAGCAATTGAATAATGTGTTTCTTAGAAAAGAACATGTAGTGAAATAGGACAGAGGCATCTGTGGTGGCATCTGGAACTTTGTGGCTCTAAACCAAACATTTCCCCCTCATCGTTTTGTATCCAGCTTTTCCGAAAGTTTACATGTGCAAGAAAGTCATAGCACCAAAAAACTCAACCATGCCATTGACATTTTTCAGAAGCTTTATCTAAGGTACCCAATGGTGTTAGAGGTCATTCTGTGAATCAGTCTTATGAAATAGCACACATTAGAGACTTTGAGAGAAGACCTAGTTCTATTATTAACAATCAGCCTCATGTTGTTGCTCCTATAACAGCTACTTTGTCAATAGACCATATTTTCAGAAATTGTGTTTTATGAAAACCAATGAGTCTGCTGCCACTGCAGCAGAAAAAAATAATACTACACTGTTTTCTATCTTATTTAAGGAAAAAAGAGATGGCTCTCTTCTCCCTTATCATTACTGTTCTTTTCTTTAAGCACAAAGATCTTTGACCTGAATTTTAATCCCCTTATATGGCTTAATTAACCATCACCCCCATTCTATCAGGATTTATTTAAGAATGAAGAGTATAACTTACTGCTCATGCCCATACCCTCTCCCCTTTTTCAGCAAAGACTAGTGGAAAGTAGGTGACTGCACTTTATTTCAGCATCCTCTTCAATGATTGTGTAATTTGTCTCCTATCGGGATGTTGCCTCTGCCCACTTGGACATCTAACCTTCATTCAGTGTGGTTGTGCAGTTATTCATCTCATATCATGTCAGGCAGGAGGCTGTTCTGATTTTGTGTGCTGCCAGCTTTGGAAAGATAACCACCATCTGCTCTAATCATGTAGACTTATTGCAGCCTCGTTTCTCTGTTATAATAAAATACTGTAGACCCCGACCACTGTCTACTATGTTGTCTTTTTTTCTTTACTAGGAAGGGGGGAGTGTATTTCTGAAATCGAGAGTCATATCCAGCTGACCATAAGCCAATAGATATGTTAGCTTTTCAAATGTTGACTGAAAGAAAATACATCTTTTTCTTTGTTTGCCATCTGGCTTGTCCACTTCAAAGATGCCGAGGGTGTGGCTATAATCCCTTGGACTTTGGGGGAATAAGTAGAGTCCTAAGAAGGATCCCATGGATTTGGGCAGTGGGTGGAAGGGATGGAGAGGAAAAATTGCAACTTTACATGTTTATCGGAGCCAAGGATGTAAATAAAAAGTGTGAAATTAAAGTACAGAAACAAAAAGTAATGTGAACTGAATGTAAGATGACCGTTGGTCATCAACCTTGTCCTCAATTTTGAGGAGCAGTAAGTAACAGGAACTGAAACCAAAAGGCCAACCCAGGTCTAAGTTTTTTCAAGGAAAGCAGAAGTCTTAATTTTTTTTTTTTTTTTGGAGAGGTTTTCGCTATAGGGCACGTGCGCTCACCAGACAGAGAGAGACAGAGACAGAAAGCGAGAAATCACCCCCCAGAGGGGATGGTCACGCCGCAATCCCCTCTCCATTCTCCTCTTGGGATCTTGGGCACTCATGCACACGTGCCCGGCGTGAGTTTTAAGCTACTGGGTCCGGGACGTGAACCGCGGTCGACTACGTGGGAGTCCAGCGACATAGCCATTACGCTAACTGCTGGTTCCCAGAAGTCTTAATTTTTATGGGAGGTTATTGGTACTTAAAACCAGTTCAATTACTTGCACATGATTAATGAGCAAGATACGAACAGTACGTTGCCAGTCATCACCACGTCACGTGCCTGTCAGCAGACATCAAGCAAAGGCACCTGCTTAGCAGTGCCAGACAGGCAGTAGAGAAGGAGTCAGGCCCAGAGGCCGAACATAAGCCCTGATGCAACTTGGTCCTTTTCTCTTGCTTCTCCAGAGGCACAGTGTGTGGCAGGGAGGGAGTCAGTCACTCCTGGCTGTTGGCTTCTCTGCGTTCCTGTTGCCAATGGATATACAAAGGTGGTAAAAGGATAAGTGAGCAGACCGGTTTACTAAGTATCTTTGAAAAAGTTTCTTAATGGGGAAAAATAAATAAACGTATTAACTGTTCTAGAAAGGGACTGGCAGCCTAGGTTATTGGAAACTACTTTAAATTTTCTCTGTCTGGAGCAAAAATGGTTGAAAGTTGGCTAACAACACCTCAACTAATGTAAAAGAAACTTGACCTCCCTACTGACCTTGTTATTTCTAAACATATGTATTACCAGTTCACCCTGGACTAAGTCCCGTTGCTCATGTGGTTTGTGTTGGTTGGTTGGTTTTTGTGTTTTTTTGGTTTTAGTTTTTTTTTTTTTTTTTTAATAGAGATTTTGCTATAGAGCACATGCGTTCAACGGAGAGACAGAAAACGAGAAGCCATCCCCAGGGTGGGGGGCGGGGGGAGGCATGACACAATCCCTTCTCCATTTTCCTTCCAGGATTTTGGGCACGCACATACACACGCCCAGTGTGAGTTTTAAGCCACTGGGTTTGGGACTCAACTGCAGTCAACTACATAACCATTGTGTCATCTACTGGTCTCCCTCGTGGTTTGTGAACACTGATAGGATTTTAGAAGTTCAGACCATTTGCCTACAACTGTTTTCTAGTATCCTAGAATAAATTTAAGATACTAATATTCTCTAAAGAACTATTTTATTTCTTTATTTATACATTTGTTTATTATTTTTAATTTGACCAGAAAGGGACAAAGCAAGAGAGAGAGAGAAAGTGAGAAAGCAAGCCGCCAGGTCCAGGACTCAAACTGTTGTCGGCCAGGTGGGAGTCCAGCACTCTTAACCACCATGCCACCTGCCCCGGTATTAATCTTTTTCAGTTTTGGGGGGGTGGAGGGGTTAGAATAGTTTGCCTACTCGAAAAGAATAAGCATGCCTTTGTTCTATTACAATTTTAAGATAAAATAATTCCCAGATCTGGATGGTTTATTAAAAATATTGGTCTGGACTCCCACTTAGCCAATCACAGTTCAAGTCCCAGATCTTGCGGCTTGAAAATCACACCAGGCACGTGTGCATGCACACCAAAAATCTCAGAAGGAGAATGGAGAAAGGACTGCAGCATGGCCATTCCCCGCCAGGGTATGATTTCTCACTTTTCCTCTCACTATTTCCAGCAAAAGTTCATGCCCTAGGACAAAAACCTTAATAAATAAATGTATGTATGTATGTATCATTGACTTCCTGACTTCACATCTGGTTATACTGACTCACTGTGTCTAGGATAAGGAGTCTTTTTTTGGAGAACTTTTTGCTATAGGACACGTGCACTCACCAGAAAGACAGACAGAAAGCAAGAAATCACCCCCCCCTGGTGGGTGTGTGGCCCTGCTGCAATCCCCTCTCCTCAATTCTCCTCTTGGAATCTTGGGCGTGCATGCACACACACCTGGTGTGAGTTCAAGCCGCTGAGCCCAGGGCTTGAACCACAGTCGACTACATGGGAGTCCAACAATGTAGCAATTACACCATCTGCTGGTCCCAGGAGTCTATTTTTTTTTAAGTAAGAAAGGAACCTCTGTAGATGATTCAAAGACAGCTGTCCCATGGGTCAGCTATGAGAAACCAAACCATCTCAGGTTTCTATCTAAATAACCAAAATCCCAACTTACTCAACCAACTTGAGAATTTTATTTTAAATATTTTCCTTCTGTAGTGTGGATTTTTCTAAAGAATTATTTAATTTTATTATTATTTTAATTTGCTATAGGGCACGCACACTTACCAGAGAGTAGGAAAGAAAGAAAGCAAGCCTACAGGTCCAAGACTCAAACATGGTCAGCCATGTAGGAGTCCGTGCCCTAACCCCCTTGTCACCTGCTGGCCTCTGAACTATGGATTTTTATTCCTCATGGAAATTATTGGTTTACTAGTAGCTAATGATAACTGAAAGACCAGTTTTTTTCTCAATGAAACAAAAATGTTGACCACTATTTTCTCTTGACAATAACAGAGAGGGAAGAAATAACTCCTAAACAGGGCATGGTTACACTGCAATTCCTTCTCTATTTCTCCATCCTGTTAGGATTTTGGACACACATGCACATGTACCAGGTGTGTTCTTCAAGCTGCCAAGACCAAGATTTATGACATACTCCACCCCCAGCCTCAGCCAGCCCTGGTCATGGGTATGTATAAACCCTACATGTCCAGGGTGGCCTTGGGTCTCAAACCCAAGACCTTCCATGTGTTTCAGCATTGCAGAACATTGCATTACTGTTGCACCACTATCCAGCCCCATTTAACATTTTTTAAATGACAAATGTTCAGAAATGGAGAACAGTTGAGTAGGTTTTCAGGAGTCACAGAAAAGGGCCTTACTGGAAGGAGGTGAATATGAAAAGTACAAGAGGGATCCTTTTGGTGATGGAGATGTTCAGTATTTTGTATCCAATGTGAATATGCAAACCCATTGTATACAATTTGATAAGATTATATAGTATTAAATACCAAAACATGAGTACAAATAAAACTGGAAATACCTGAATAAGATCAGTAGATTGTGTCAGTGTCAGTATCTTTGTGATACTGTACTAATGTTTTACAGAATGTCACCATTGGAGGCCAGCAAGCAGCATAGTGGTTGAGGCACTGGACCATAGTGGTTGAGGCACTGTGATGGTCGATCACAGTTTGAGTCCTAGACCTGGCAGCTTGAAACACCGGGCATGTGTGCGAGCGTCCCCAAAATCCTGAGAGGAGAATGGAGAAGAAGGGATTGCAATGTAGCCATCCCCCCAGGTAGTGATTTCTTGCTTTCTATCTATCTCTCCAGGGAGTGCACATACCCTATAGCAAGGTACACAGGACCTGTTTATATTATTCCTTATAACTACATGTGAATCTACAATGATAGCAATAGTTTAACATCCTGGGACCTCCCTGAGCATGTTGAGTTTGCACGCATGCCCATGATCTGGGCTGGATGAGACAGGATAGATCATAGCATCGGAACCTGCTTGGGGCTGCCTGATGAGGAAATAAATTAGTTTTTTAAAATTCAGTTTAAAGATGTGACTTGGGACCAGCAGGTGGCATGGTGGTCAAGGAGCTGGATTTCACATGGCCCACTCTCCACAGTTCAAATCCTGGGCCTCGTGGCTTGCACATATGTGCCCAAAATCCTCAGAAAAGAGTGGAGGAGAAAGATTGCAGTATGGCCCCCATCTCCCCTGGGGGTTGATTTCTTTCTTTTCCTCTCTGTCTCTCCAGCAAGCATAAGCACATGTGCCCTATGGCAAAAGCCTTTTAAAAAAAAGTGACTTGGTGCCCTAGCCATGTGGCATGGTAGTTAAGGTGGCTAGATCCCACATGGCTGACTACAGTTTGAGTCCTGGACGCAGTGGTTTGGAAAATACCAGCGTATGTGTGCATGCCTGAAGTCCCAAGAAGAGAATGGATGAGAAGGGGCTGCCATATGGATCCCCCCTAGGGAGCGATTTCTCATTTTCTCTCTTTGGTGAGCACATACACCCTATAACAAAAACTAAAAGACTAACTGATTTGAGTTTCTAAGGCATTCCCCGTGTTTCCTCATTAGTGAGGACCTCTGATGCATGGAAAAGTAGGTACAGTGGTGGACATATCCCCAACACACAGAAGAGGAAATTGGGTTTTCTCTCTCTCTTTTTTTATTTATTTATTTTTTTTGAATAGGTTTTTGCTATAGGGCTCATGCACTCACCAGAAATCAAAAAGAGACAGAGGGACAAAAAGTGAGAAATCACCCCCAGGGGGGGATGCCCATACTGCAATCCCTTATCCTTTCAGGATCTTGGGCACACACGCACATGCGCCCAGCATGAGTTTAAGCCACTAGGTCCAGGACTCGAACCACGATCGACTGCATGGAAGTCCATCAACATAGCCATTACACCAACTGCTGGTCTCCAGATGAGGAAATTGAATGCTAGAGATTAATGTGACAATTTTGGTGTAGAGCATAGCCAAGAACAGAAACCAAGGCTCTGGACGCCCATTCATTCCTTTAAAAAGTATTGGTTGAAGGTGCTGGATCCCACATGGCTGACGCTGAGGTTCAAGTCCTGGACATGGGGACTTAAAAAAAACACCAAGCTGGGGCTGGCAGGTGGCTTGGTGGTTAAGAGTGCTGGACTCCCACATGGCCAACTGTGGTTCAAGTCCCAGACCAGACAATTTGCTTTCTCTGTCTCTCTCTCTCTCTCCCTCTCTGATCAAATTGAAATAAAATAAATGAATGAATAAATAAAGTTAAATAAAAATAATTTTAAAAAAACACCAAGCGTGCGCAAAAATCTCAAAAAGAGATCGGAAGGGATTGTGGTGTGGCCAACCTCTTGCAGGATGATTTCTTACTTTCTATCTCTCCCCACCACCCCATGGCAAAAACCTAAAAAAAAAAAAAAAAAGTTTAAAAATTGTAAGTAGTATTTGAGTACCTACAATGCTTTAAACAGTGTTCTAGAATCGAGGACCTGGAGTTGTAGCCACAAACAACACTGGGACCAGCCCTCTCTTAGCAAAGACCACGGGGTACTGAGACAAACTGTTCACAGTCCTCAGTAAATAGCCGTGAGCGTGAAGGTAAAGACAGAGGCAAGAGAGGATGAGACCAGTGTTGACCCGAGTCTGGCGCCAAACCTCCTATTGCTGTTCCTAGGAGAGAAGTGTTTGGCTTGGCCAAGAGGCCAGGACTAAAAATAAAACGATAAACAAAGGCTCGCAGGGCGCGATGCTGGCTCAGGGCCAAGAAGTCCCTTGAGGAGGCAGATAGTGGGTGTGGTCCAAGACTGAAACCTATGGGAAAACTACAGCTCCCAGCGTGCCCCTCGGCCTGGCCAAACCCGGTGGTCACGTGACCCGTGCTCACGTGTCATCGCAGCCGGCTGGGGACTGAAACACCGCAGGTAGGTGGCGGTCTGAGGTGTAGGCAGTCGGAGGTATAGGTGGTGGGGGTTGGAAACTTTAGGTCCTCAGAGCCCCCCATCGCGGCAGGGGTCGGCCCCACTCCTTGCAGGGCTCCAGAGTCCGCGCCCTGCGCCCGCCCTCTACTGCTCCTTAACCCGGCCAGCCTCCACCCAGTCCTAGGCCGAGATCGAGTCCCGGAGTTCGTCCCTCGTTTGCCCCACAGTTGTCCACCCGTCTGGCGTCAGCCGTGGGTATCGGCCCCCAAAATCCTGAGCCAGCTCCTGATGCAACCACCTCCCGTATTTCAGGGTACCAGGGCAGGACTGGGTACTTGCCCCACCTGGCATCAAGGAAACCAAGCATGTGGCATAAGGTTTCTAGTTCTAATGAAGCCAACTACCCACAGTGACCGTCATCTAACCTCTTTCCTTCCGTTGGCCTCTCTATCTGATCTGGCACTCCACTCTGTGAGTGAGCTCAGAGCTGCCCAGTTCTCCCCACTCTCTGCTGAAGCCAGTGCAGAAACAGACCAAACCATCTTCTCCGCTGACAGCAGATCTTGGGTGAAGTTTTGAGAAAGAATTTGAGGCCAGAAAGAGAAGTGAGGAGAATCAGATCCCAGACCTTGGAGAAGAGAGAACAATCCTCTATCATAGCCAGTCCAGTACAAAGAGCAGGTAAGCTGGGGAAAATGGATCTGAGTAATTCTGGTTGGGGATGGGGGTGGGGGGGCAAGTATGGCGGCAGAAACATCTTGGACCAGTGCAGAGAATCTGCCAGAAGTGGGACTGCTGCCTCTGAGCTCCCTGAAAACCCCAGCCTGAGTTCCTGTGTGGGTGGCTAGAGAGGCCAAGCAAATGGCCTAGGTATGATGGGTCAGGGTGCCCGAGGAGGAGTCGGGTTGCTTGGAGTGTGGGAGGCTGCAGACCTGTGTCTGGAATGTGAGCAGGTGGAGGCAGTGGTCTCACAGCTCTGCCAGCACTAACATCGCACGGTTCTGTCTAGAGCACAATGGCAGCCTGGGAGTCCTGAGACTGCCTTCACTCCTCACTACTCTTTCTGCTGAGCTGCTGGCTTGGTGGCAGGTTGCGTAAGAGGAAGAGGCACTGAGGCAGTTGACTGATCTTTCTGGACTAGGAGTCAGCAAAGATGTTTCCCCTGGGGCTGTTTCCCTTGGTTACATGCTTGATGACAGATGTCTGGGAGCACCTGAACTTTCCCCTGACCCTCTCGTGAGTGTATTTTCTAGCTTGGTATGTCCATCATTGGGAGGAGAAATGGGGAGATCAGCAGATGGCATATTGGCTACGTCGCTGGACTCCCACATAGCCAATCGTGGTTCAAGTCCTAGACCCAGCAGCTTGAAACTCACACTGGGCACATGTGTATGTGTACCCAAAATCCCAAGAGGAGAATGGAGGAGAAGGGATTGTGGCATGGTCATCTCCCCCCATGGGTGATTTCTCAGTTTCTGTCTCTGTCTCTGGCAAGTGCAGGAACCCTGTAGCAAAAATCATTCTGTAAAAAAAGAAGCAATGGGAATAAAGATACAGAATATAAAATACAGAGTTTTATATGAATACTGTGCAGTCAGGACTTAGGAATTAGGAGACGGGGGTGGGGGGAGTATTTGACCAAGTACTAAATCCTTACTAATATAACACACTCCTCCCAGGAACTTACAAGGTGAAGACTTACAAAGAAGTGACTTGCCTAAGGTGGCACAGCTGAGATGTGAGGAAGCTGGCATTCTGACTCGTCAGAGATCCCAGCCACAGTTCCTTCTTGCTCAGGGCTGCTCTCAGTGGGGCAGACTTGTTTCTTTAAGGCCATCACTTCTCTTGGGAGTCTTGGAGAGTGAACTGCATCTTTTTTTTTTTTTTTTAAGAGGTTTTTGCCTTAGGGCATGCACACTTGCTGGGACCAGCAGTTGGCATAATGGCTATGTCTCTGGACTCCCATGTAGTTGACCATGGTTCAAGTCCCAGACCTGGTGGCTTAAACTCACACCAGGTACGTGTGCATGTATGCTCAAAATCCTGAGAGGAGAAGGAATTACGGCATGGCCATCCCCCCTGGGGGGTGATTTCTTGCTTTCTGTCTCTGTCTCTGTCTTTCTGGTGAGTGCATGCACCCTATAGCGTAAAACCTCTTCCCCCACCCCCAATTCCCCCAAAAAAGGCATGTGCACTTGCTAGAAAGAGATCATG